TCCATTAGCTTTTAAAAAGAAAACTTCTTTATATTCTAATAAATTTAATAGATTATTCTTAATAATCATTATCGTATTTTGTTTTTTATTATTTGATGAGTTAGTATGGTTAGATATTTTTAGTTAATTAACAAGTTGCTAGGTTGATGGAAGCATAGGCATATAATTAAATTAGTTAAAGTTATTAATATACATATTTAATTTACATTGCAGAACAGTTCGGGTTTCCCGCTCATCTATCCTCACACGCGTCGGTCATTGGAACCGATCCCATCAAACATCTTCATCTTTTGTTCTTCTTTAGATCGTATGGGTTTTTATTTCCACTGTGAAAGAAACAAATAGAGATCGAAGATGAGTGTAATCATATGCATCACCACCTTCTTTTTTCTATATGTTCGCAATTCAATTTAATATTTTAATCAAAATCAGATTTCTTCATAATCAAAGGTTTTTGATTCACTATATCTCTCTTACGAACCAACGCGTCCCACCACCACCTCCTTTCACCTCATCACTACCATCATCGGCCAATCGAGGCCAACAACAACCATCTTCAAAGGGCCTCCGGCATACCCGGCAAACTGAATCAGGTACACTTCGGCCCTAAACTCTTCACCCTGTATCAGCTGCAATTTGCCTACATTTAGTCATACTACCTTTATCTCGGAACTGTTCCCTTGTCACTCTCGAAATTCATTCATTGTTTCCCCAAAAACCAAAATAAAAAATCGACTGTTTTACCCCAATCTGATCTGAAATTCGACTTCTCCAAAGTTGACCCCCTAAATCGATATAGTCTATGCTTTTGATAATTTAATATCTATTTAAGCTTGATTAACAGTTCTATTTCAGTTGTTGAATCAATTTGGAATTTTTTTTTTCTGTCAACGGGCTTTAACAGTGATTATATGTTGTTGTTTTGGTTCAATGAGGCAGACACATGAGAATATTGACGATAAGTTGAAGTTTGCCAATGCAATTTTGAAAATACCTAAAAACAATTGTCTACAATTTGAATATGGAGGTGGAGCTTGTGATTATGAAAGGTCTACATGAAGATTTGGAGACTTATGTAAATATATGATCATTTTGAATTGTAGATCTTCACTCAGAAGCGAAGAAGCAATTGAGTCTTTAGACTATAAGAGCGGAGATGGCAAATAATCTCTTCACTCATGATAGTTTTGTGGTATGCTCTTTTTGAATTCTTAATCAAAACTTTATGTTTCTTACTGTTTCATGGTTTTATGTCTTCACTTTTAAAAAGCTTGTGGATGGATCAAAGACGTTATCTCAAATCTTCTTATAGCAACAAAAGATGTTGACATAGAAGAAACTGCTTAGAGGTTACAAATGATGGAATCTGATTGTCACACAAAAAATCATTCTTCCTCAAACGCTATGCCTGGATCAAGCAATAAGGAAAAGTCTGATCCCTTTGGATTGAACGCTTTGATTCGATAGAGAGATTGAAAAGTGAAAGCAAAATTGGATGGTGAAGCAATACTATCTAAAATAAGAAATGAAGAAGTTTAAAATGTTTAGTTAGTTAGTTATAAGTTTATACATAAACTGAAGAGGTAATATTTTTTATTTTTCATTTTAGTCTTTCATGTTGTTGCTACTTCATTGTCCTAATAAGAAAAAAAAACCATCTCGGGATTCATCCTGGGCTTACCTACTAGTTAATATTAAATTGTAATGAACTGATCAATTCATATGTAATATCTCTTACTTTTTAGTGTATATACCATTATTTAATTCTACATTTCGTTTTTATAATTTCATTATTGGTTTTAGTTTTTTTCTTTAATTCATTATTTATTATATTTTTTTTATAATTTTGAAATTATTAGATTTAATAATGAAACATTCTATAGATTTAGATCTGATCTTTTTAATGAAACTTTTTTTTATAAAAATGTTATAAATTGGGTATATGGAATCAAAATCAGTTCCAACCGATCTGGTGAGCGGTTCCAACTTCCAAATCTTAGGAATTAGCAAAACTAGCTATGGTTCTAAAAAATTTAATTGAGTATATGTCATCCCTAGTCCGGATAATCAATCTTTTATCGTTATGTTTCAGTTTTGCTCTTAAATAGATGTCATTTTATATAACTTTATATGTTTTAAAAATTTCGAACTACTTTTAATCAATATTTAAATGAAAATAATAGATACTCCGTTTTTTTGGCTTTTCGTGTAGTATTCTAGTAGAAATAATAGATGTCAGATTGGGTGGATAAATTGGCTTCAAAATCCTATTAACTTCTTGCAATTGTTTTGTAACTCTTTGCTAGTTTTACTTTTATATATAATTGGCTAATTGTTTTGTAACTCTTTGCTAGTTTTAGTTTTATATATGATTGACTTTTTCAAAAAATAATTTACAACTTGAAGAGTATAGTTAGTTTTACATAACACGCCCATCAAATAAGAAGAAAAAGGGTAAAGTGTGTGTTTTTATGGTGAGAGGGGATGGCCGGATGGGGCCCTTTTTTCTTTTATATTACAAATAAAAAAAAATGAACTATAGAAAATATAGGGTAATTTAATCACATGGACCATTTCACATTGTTAAAAAAAAATTGAACTGTGAGTGCAATTATATAATAAACGCATGATCATTTTTATAATTTACTCTAATATTAATGAAAACCAATAAATAATGTTCACTGTTTCTTAACAACTAAATATTATTTATTAATTTTTTAATAAAAATATTCGGTGTGTGATGAAGATAGAAAATAATGTATAGATGAAGATTGAAAATATTGTATAAACACGATATAACAATTTCTTGGAATCATACCAACAATGGCTCTTCATCTAAAAGGTGTCATGGAATCAACAACAGATCAAATACACAAAGAATTATGTGAGTACAAGAATTATTATATGACATGCACTAAAAAGATTCGTAGTTATTGCTTGAAGAAAAGTTTCATATGAAACTTAGTCTAAGGTAGCCAAGGGTTTGTTTGTTTTTCTGTAAAAAACATTTTCTGACTATTTATTGTTGCGCGGCGCAACACACGTACAACATTTTCCATCCCGCAACAGTTTGTTTTGTAAAAGTCTTCAGGCCTAAAAACATCTGCGCGTTCTGTTTGGGGCAATGCTTGCAATGCCTCTTCAAGCCTCTTTACGCCTAAACCTAAAAAAAAAAAAATCGGTAGTTCTTCTCTAAAGAAAAAAAAAGCGTTGTATCCCTCTTCCATTCGACGACTGCATCTTCGGTCGACTGCTTTATCTTCAATTGCAGCCTCTTTCGCCGGTGCAACTTCCTTCCTCGGCGCAGCCTCCTCCCCGTCGTCGTCTCCTCCTCGTCACCATCTCCTCCTCCTCCTCGTCGCCAGTCAGTCGGCCTTCGGCCTTCATTAGGTAAGTTTTTTTTTTTTTTCGTTTATTGTTGCTGAAGCAAGGATTATTTCATGCTTCATCTTATTTTTTTCATTTTTTTGCTGAATCCTTGTTGATATCTTTGTTGTTGAATCTTGATTAATGATGTTGTCAAATCTTTGTTGATGTTATTTTTTTATCTTGAATAATGATAAGTTTTTGTTGAAATCAGCAAGATATGCAAGCATATGCAGATTTTTCTTGTTGATTTGTTGATTATAGTGGTCAAATCTTTGTTTATGTCATTTTTTTTCGATTCATGATGCATTCTTGCTGAAATGTCAGTTTATTGTTGAAATGTCATATATTATTGCTGAAATGACATATTTTTTTGCTAAAATGTCATCAATCGAAGGTCTTGTTATGTTGAAATGTGAATAATCTTTGCTAAAAAATATGTTAGTTCCATTAATTGAATTTGTTGTTATGCTGAATTGGATGTCTAAAGAGAGGGATGGATGTGTATAAGTCTAGTGGTAATAATTTAAGAAGGAAACAAGTTGTGCACTACAGGTGCTCGATGAAATGCTTGAGAGAATATTGAAGTTTAATTTAATTGCATTTCGTTTGGTCTTGCACATCTCTAGTAACAAATGCAAATGGTAAAATGGTCTATGCTTGTAATAAGAAGTATTCCGGTAAAAATGTGATGTATTTATGCTCTTTGAAGTCACACTTGTATTTGTGGAGCAGGTGAAGCAAAGGCAAAGAGGAGCCAAGAGAATGTTGCTCCAAGTGTTAGAAAGTTTTTGTGAAGGAATTCCAAATCAATAGCAATTTAAAGCAATTCACAAGGACGTTATTTAGCTAAAACAATGTAATTTTAATGTAAATTCATTTAATTTGTAAATATATAGTATTTAATAGTATTGAATGTTTTTATAAAAAAATGTAATGAGTTTTATTTCAATGTTGTAAGACTAACATTATTAAATATTTTATGTAGAAAAATTATTTTAACTTTGTAAAATTAATTTATTTAAATTTCAGTTTATTGCAGCAGTCTGCAGAGGTTAAAATACAAACAAGCTTCTTATTACAGGTTGCATCGGTTTGGTCCACTTCTTCTGTTGCAGTGGGTTGCACAGTTGGTCCACAAACTTCTTGAATTTTCGCTTCGAAAAAACAAACAACACTTAAGTATCTTTGGATGGACTCTTTACATTTTTTGGGTGCATTTCAAAAACACAACACTAGAAATTTTGGATGCATTAACAGAAGTTAGGGATGAGCTTCAATTACACTTTGGTTTTAAGAAAAACCAAAAAAAAAAACAACAATCATCACATTTCATTAAGGCTCGAGGGAGTGGTAACACTCCTAATAAGTTTTTTTTATTGATACATAAGTTTTTTTATTTCCACCTAAGCTTAGCATTTTACATAGAAAAAGATAGGAGTGGTAGTGTGTGATTTTAAATAGGTTTTATTTTGAAAAAGAAAAAAGAACAAAGAAAAAAAGAAAAGAAAATAGCAAAACAAATAGTTTTTGTGGTCAAAAGTGCAGCAACCAATCAAAGCAAAGCTTCATCTCTCTCTCTCTCTCTCTCTCTCTCTCCTCTATATATTTATATATATATATTATAATATATATATATATATATATCTATATATATATCTATCTATATATCTATCTTTCTCTCTCTCATTAAGCTGCTAGCGAGTGTATCTTAACGATCCCCCTAGTGAGAGTTAGGGGTTGTGTGCAGCGATCTTAATGACTTGGTAGTGAGCATGCTTAGCGAACGACTCCCTCTAGTCTAAGGTGTTGTTTGTTTTTGAAGAGGTAAAACTTCTACAACTTGTGGACCACATTTACCGAAAAAGAGGTGGAGTAAACATCTGCAAGGAAAAGGCTGCTTGTTTTTTAGTCTATAGACTCAATAAAATACTAAAATAAAAAAAACTGATTTTTTAATGTATTATAAAATAACAATTAACTTAAATTGTTGTCGAGGCACCTAGTAACAGAACTATTAAACTTTTTTTTTCAATGTTTTTTTTTGTTGTTCCATAAGATAAAACAGCAGAAAACCAAGGAATCATACAACCGTTGATCATTTCTAGCACAATAAGGATGTCTCGACCATAATCAAACCCACACCAAATGAAATTAATTACATAAAATTAAACTTTTAAATCAGTTCTTTCTTGGATAGTTCACGAGTTGCTCCACCTCTCAGCTCTCATAACGTGCAACATGATCATTGTCAGTCCGGAAGATAAGTTACATAATAAATCATTACAAAGAAATAAAACTATGATCATTTGGTCATTTAGTTTTTAAAGTACATAAATAAAAAAGATTATGTACCTCCATCTTTTATATCTATTGCATGTTGGTGATTTTAATGTTATCGGCATATTTTAGTGTAGTTATTATTAATATTGAGATATGCTGAGTTCTATTTACTCATCGAGACTGGAGGTGTGGGATGCACACTTGGAACGATAAATGTGAACCAAGAATATGGGCGTCCGGGGGCAGAGCCCCTGGGTATGAGGTTTCAAGGGGCAGCGTCCCTAGCAGGGTCCAAGTTGCAGAGCCCCTGGCGGTGGTTCCGCTGACCAGTTAGTGGACAGGGTCAAGGGGCAGCGCCCCTAGCGGGGTCCAAGGGGGAGAGTCCGCGCATGTATTTTCCCTGGCAAAAGGGTTTATGACATCATAATGATGTAACTAGTTGGTTGTGTCTGATAACTACCGTTCAACCTCCATTTTGGCGCCAAATCTGCATGTAACCACCGTTAACTATTTTTCCCTTTTATAAAAGAACACATTGCATGTTCCAGGAAAAGGGTTACATTCTATATATATGAAAATCACTCATCATATTTTCTCAATCTCTTCGAGAACACAAAAGCAACAAGGTATTATTCTGTGTTTCCAATTTAGAAGTAGCCTGACTTCTAAAGTGTTTCTCTTGGATTATCCCAAATCGGTTTTCGTGGTACCCCAGGAAAAAGGGTCGAAATCACAGATTTTGGAAAGTGATTGCAATCACGATCCTGGATATTATCCAATTATATTGATATTCTAATGACCTTAAAATCTAACATTCAAAATCTGTGATTTTGTGAAGAATATCAATAGAAGAAT